CCACATCCATTGAAGATAAACTCTCAGTACACTAGGAAAATTGAAAACTTTGTAAATTTGATGAAGAATGTCTACAAAATACCTACAGATAACATCCTACTTAAGGGTGAGAAACTTGAAACTTCCCTGGTAAGATTAGGACAAGGGAAAGATACCCACTCTCACTGCTTTTCTATATTGTCCTGGAAGAAGGACACAACAAGACAAGAAAAGGAAAGAAATGTTATACAGATTGGAAATAAATAACCCTCTATTTGTTTGAAGATGACATGATTGTCTGTGTATAAACTCTAAAAGAAAAGAGAAAAACGTAAATTCCTAGAACTAAAAAGCAACTAGAATAAGGTTGCAAGATACAAGACTCATATGTGAAAGCCAATTGCATTTCTTTACACCAACAGGTAATAATTGGAATTTGAAACGATAAAGTAGATTTCTCCAAAATATACGAATAACTCTTAAAGCTTCATATTAAACAAGTGAATAAGCTGATAAGAAAATGAGCAAAAGACAGCTTCAGCTGATGTAGTGCAGCTTTATCCTATTTGTGATCTTCCTTATTAATTCTGATTGAATCTTAACTGATGTAAATGACAACTAATTTTCATTTGTTGTATATTTCCTGTGTCTAACTCAGTGACTGGCAAATAATATATACTCAATACGTTTGAAATTAATAAAAATGAAAGAGCAAATTAATTTTGGTACAGCATAGACATTTGTCAGGAATTAAACCACCAAGAGCCCTTGGAGAAAACTACGTACTACACAGGCCAGTACCACGGCAAATATATATATGCTCTCTAACTTTGAGGAAGTGCTAAAAATTGCTTGGAAAACTTTTTAACTGTCTCTTAACTGCTTCCTCTCCTACCCTGCTTAATGAAAATTTGCTTCATTTTTCTTATGCTCCTTAACAGTCTGCGGCATTTATATTTACCATGTAATTTAGCCTTCTCTTTCATACACACACACACACACACACAGACACACACACACACGAAGAACTCTGAGCATGAAATGTCATATCTAAAAATATATACTTATATGCACAGCTATACTTCTTTGCCTTGATTTTCAAAGAAAGAAGTTTCTCTCTTTCAGCCGGAGACAGTGTTTCCCAACACCACTTCTGACACCAGATGTTGGCCTTTTCCATACCAAGCAATTCTTGAATTCTTCAGCACCAACTAGATATTCAACACTTCAATTTGATTCTAACATTACCTACAAATTCAGCTAATTGAAAATTTGAGGGTTCACACTATTTCCATTTATGTTCATTATTTCGAAGAGTTCACAAAATTCATAAAAACACATGATCTATGTTTACTCTTTTATTATAAATGTTTCAACTCAGGAATAGCCAAATGGATGAGATGCACAGGGCGAGGTATAGGGTTGGGGGAGAGATTGTAGGTGCTGCTTCTATCCTTCTCAGGGCACATCGCCCTTCCAGTACTTGCATGTTTTCACCAACCCAAAAGCTCCCAGGCTCCTGTCATTTACATTTTTCCTGTTTAAATAAAGATTTCATTATATAAATATAATTGATTAACCCTTGGCCATTGGTGATTGAACTCAATCACCAGTCCCTCTCGGCTCCCTGGAGCTTAGAGTATTGTGCTAAAAGTCCAAACCCTTTAATTTTGTCTTAGTCTTTTTGATGATCAGACCTCATCCTGAAGCTATCGAGGGAATCTTCCTGAATCTCATTAAAGTTAAAAAAGACAGTAAATGACAAGGGTTTTAGAAACTCTGTGCCAGAAAATTGAGACAAACACATAACATTTATTTTTTGTTAAACTACACAGTCTAACCCTATATTCCAAACCTCTTATTAGATTACATACTCACATATTCTGTAAAATATTCTTCCTCAATTATACTTGTTTCAATATTTTCTGATAATTTTTTACCAAAATTATAAATCATAACCTTTTTACTATAAAAGTCACCCTATATTGTCATCTAACCATTATCGCCCTATCCTCTTTTCTTCCATCAGCATAAACTTCTAAAAGGTATGTTCCACATTTACTCTTTTTACTTGTCTACCCCATACATTGCTCAATACTTTCCATTCCTGTAGCTCCAATAAACTGTCTCTTATTGAAATCATAAGCAACTCCTCAATATGATGGACTCATCTCAGGGAACACACAATTAATAATAGTAAAAAACTATTTTCAAAAAACAAAACAAAAACTTAAGAAACTATCTCCTATGCAGTTTATTGATACAATATTTGATCCAACTCTATGCTTGAAAAGGATGTGTGTATAGAATTATATTAATATGTGATTGCAGGTATACATATAGAGAGTTTCTGGAGCAAGAACAAATGTATTATTAGTGCCAGTTTCATTTGGTTTTGCATCTTTCTTAGAAGTGATGAACTACCTTTATCACAGCAGCTCTTGCTCTAAAAAATAAAATCACGGATACTTGGAGGTTTCAGATTTGCCTTATTTAAAAGCAGAGATGACTCATTCTATCAATGATCTCAAGTACTCTGATTTCTAGATCATGCCATTTACTGCATTTCCACATTTGTATCTGCTTCTAATAATGGGCAACTTCCTAAAATGTTTTTGAAAACACCACCTCATTTCCAAAGTCAATTTTTTCTTCTCATCTTTGGAGTAAAATGACTGATTAAGAAATGATGAAAACCCAAATTAAGAATTGGGAAAACAAGTCTGAAAGTGTTGGCAATTTACCTAGTAGTCAAAGACATACAGTACTTGTGAGCAAAGGTATTAGCCAAAATTAGGTTTAGATAATTAATTCCTATGAAATCCTAAATACATCTTAACATAAAGGGACCAGAGAAACAAAGTATTTGATGGAAATTCCAGCTATAAAAGCACCTGAATGTTAAAGATATCTGCAAATTTCATTCCTATTTTTTTTTCCATTTACAGGTGCTCCACAAGTTAAGTAGAGGTTATGTCACAGTAAATCCATTGTAAGTTGAAAATATCAAAGTCAAAAGTCCAATTAATACACCTAACCTACTGAACATTGTAGCTTAGCCTAGCTCAGATCGTGTTCTGAACACGATCAGAACAATTAGCCTAGACTTGGGCAAAATCATCTGGCAACACACTACAGAAGGTTTTGATGTTTTGCAAAAGCAAAATATCTTTGGACCAAAAGGTTTTGCTTATTTTCCTTTGCTCGTAAAATTTAAAATTATTCTGCTTCTTTATGGCTTAAAACTTTAATGGTCATTGTTTCAAACAATCTCTAGAAGAAATTGTTCATCTATTTTTAATTTTGCCTACATTGTTTTTTGTTTGACTTAGATGCATCATCTGGAGTAATTCAAAGGCTGCTTGACTTCTTAGCAGTATTACTACTGCTACAAACTGCTCATCCCTTCACTCTGCCCCCAACTGGATTAATTATTGTAATAAAAACTAAGAAAAATACGCGGAGCTCTTTGGGGAAAAAAAATGCATACATGTAGTTACTAGAAGCACTTTTTAGCATTAACTGGATTCTTGAATATTTAAGGTCAATATATACTGAGGCCTTTGGAATCCTGACCTGATACTGTATTTTCTTATTATCTTACTTTCCATAATTTCTGAAGCAAAATTGTCTTATAGTCTGCAAATTAATAAACCATATTCACATTGGTTCATATTTATCAATAAACCATACAAACATTTGTATATTTCTAAATAAACTGAAAGAAATTTATTCTATTATTTCTATTTATTTAGTAAATAGAAAGAATAAATTGTACCCAAAACAAATTAAACAAGTTAGATGCATTACTTTTTAAACACAAATAAAATATAACTCTAGTTTTATTTTTATTTTATTTTAGTTTTGCATTTCTAAGATTTGTTTTAATTGTGCTAATTGTGTTAAAATCAATTTATAATTGTATTAAAAGATACATAATGTAAAATGTATCATGTGAACCATTTTGAAATATACAATTCAGTAGTAAAAACATTCACATTTTACTGTGCACCCAATGTCTAGAACATTTTCATTTGGAAAAACTGAAACTGTATTTTTATGAAACAACAACCCCCCATTTATCCCTTCCTCCAGCCACTGGCAACCACCATTCTGTGTTCTTTTTTTAATTTGAGAGCTCTGTATACCTCATGTAATTGGAGTCATATAGTATTTGTATTTTCCGTGGCTATTTCATATGGCATGATACCCTCAAGATTTATTTATGTTGTCAGTAGCATGTATGAGAATTTCCTTCCTTTTTAGGCTGAATAATATTCCATTGTATGAAAATAATGCATTTGTTTATTCATTCATGCGTCAATATACAATGGGCTAGCTTCCACCTTTTGGCTATTACGCATTATGCTGTTATAAACATGGGTGTGCAAACATTTCTTTGAGATCCTGGTTTTAGTTCTTTTAGATATATACACAGATGTAGAATTGCTGGATCACATGGTAATACTATTTTTAATTTTTTGAGGAATTGCTATATTATTTTTCATAGTAGCTGTACCATTTTACATTCCCACCACCAGTGCTTAAAGATACCAATTTCTCTACATCCTAGCCAGCACTTAATATTTTCCATTTATTTGATAATAGTAATTCTAATGGATGTGAGGTGATATCTCATGGTAGTTTGTTTGTTTGTTTGTTTGTTTGTTTGTTTGTTTGTTTCTTGAGACAGACTTTCTCTCTTTTTGCCCAGGTTGGAGTGTAATGGCACCATCTCGGCTCACTGCGACCTCCGCCTCCCAGGTTCCAGCAATTCTCCTGCCTCAGCCTGCTGAGTAGCTGAGATTACAGGCATGCACCACCACATCCAGCTAATTTTGTATCTTTAGTAGAGATAGGATTTCACTATGTTGGTTAGGCTGGTTCAAACTCCTAACCTCAGGTGATCCACCTGCCTCCAACTCCTGAAGTGCTGGGGTTACAGGTGTAAGTCACTGCACCTGATCCATTGTAGTTTTGATTTGCATTTCCATAATTATTAGTGATGTTGAGCATTTTTGTGTGTACTTATTGTCCATTTGTATATCTCTTTAGAGAAAAGTCTATTCTAGTTATTTGCTTATTTTTTAAATGGGGTTGATTTATTTTTTTCCTGTTGAATTCTAGGATTACTTTACATATTTTGGATATTAACCTCTTACCAGATGTATAATTTGCAAATATTTGCTCCCATTCTGTAGATTGTTATCTTAATCCATTTTGTGTTACTATAACAGAAACCTGAGACTGTGTTATTTGTAAAGGAAAGAGTTTTATTTAGCTTATGGTTCTCCAATAAGGATGCTTCAAGATTGGGTAGCTGCATCTGGATAGCTTCTGGTGAAAGCCTAATGCTGCATCACAACGTGGAGAAGAAGCAGAAGGGGAAATAGGCATATGTAAAAAGAGACCAAACATGAGAGGCACCCTCACTGTGTAACAGTCTGCTGTGTGATAACAAATCAAGTCTCATGAGAGCAAGAAAGCGCACCTGAAAAACAAAGAAACAAAGAAACAAACAAACAAACAAAAGCATTAATTATTCTTAATGTCCTAATCACATCTTAAGGGCACTGCCTCCCAACAGTACTACCTTGGGTACCAACACATGACAGGACTTTCAGTGGAGACAAACCATATTCACCACAACATTCTCCCTCTGGCTTCCCTAAAACACACTCCCTTTTTATAATACAAAATACAATCATTCCATCACAATAGTCCCCAAAGTCTTAACTTGTTCCAGCATCAACTGAAAAGGCCAAAGTCCAAAGTCTCATCTGAGACTCAAGGCAAACTTCTTCCAGCTGTAAGGCTCTAAAATCAAAAACAAGTTATCTGCTCCCAAGGTACAGTAGTGGAGCAGGAAGTGCGTACACATTCTCATTCTAAAAGGGAGAAATAGGAAGAACAGGGTAACTTTCTCAAAGCAAGCTAAAAGCCCATCAGGGAAGATATTAAATCTTAAGGTTAGAGAATAATGTTCATTGACTCCATGACCTACATCCTGAGCACACTGGTGCAGGGGTTGGACCCCCAAGGTCTCAGGCAGCCCCACAGCTCTAGCTTTGCTTGGTGCAGTTTGCACAGCGGCTCTCATGGTTTGGAGTTTCACACCAATGCCTGTGTCTTTTCCAGGTAGGCATTGCACAATGTTAGTGACTTGACAGATTTTGAGCCCTATTTTAATGGCTCCACAGATATTCTTCTGGGAGGGAATCTCTGTAGTGTCTTTACCTGTGCAGCAGGTTTCTGTCCAGGCTTCCAGGCAGTCCATACATCCTTTGAAATGTAAGGGAATCTTACTATACTTCTGCTGTTCTAGCATTCTGTATACCTACAGAATTAGCACTATGTGGACCCCATCAAGATCTGCCACTTGCATATTCTGAAACAGGGGACAGAGCCATGGGTGGAACCACACCTGGGGCCACCAGAAAGCTGTGTGGCTAAAGTGCACTGTGTAAGAATGCAGAAGCAGGGTTCTAAGGCAGCCATGGGCAGCAAACAGGGGAAGGGCATCCTGGACTTAATCCCCCAAACAATTCTGCCCTCATAGGCCTCTGGGTCTGTGATGGAAGCTGCAGACTTAAAGATCTCTGAGATGACCTTTGGGCCCGTTTCTGATTGTCTTGATGATTAGCAACTGGCTCCATTTTAGACATATTAATTTCCTTAGCAAGTGGTCTCTGGGCCACATAATTGATTTTCTCTCCTGAAAAAGCTTTTTTATTCTACCACATAGTCAAATGCAAATTTTCCAAGTATTTGTTTTCTTCTTCTGTTTTCTTTAGCAGCTCTCTGTAAGCACTTAGAAGTAAACATGCACCGTCCTGAGAATTTTTCTACTTAGAAATTTCTCCTACCAGATATGCTCTTCTATCACTCTTCAGTTCAGTCTTCCACAAAGTCCTAGGGCATAGATACAATACAGCCAAGTTATTTGCTACTATGTAATAAGAATGATCTTTACTCCAGTTTCAATAAGACATCCATCATTTCCATATGCGAGCTCATCAAAATGGCCTTTCGTGTTTATATTTCTATCAGCATTCTGGCCAGACTATTTAACCAATCTCTAAGAAGTTCAAGACTTTACCTAGTCTTCTCATCTTTTGAGTCCTCACCAAAGTTGCCTTTAATGTTGTCTTCATTGCAATACAGGCTTTTTCTAGCCTGCTTCTCCAAATTCTTCCAGTCACTATCAATTATCCAGTTACAAATTTTATATTTTCAGGTATCTCTCTAACATTGTCCCTCTTCTCAGTATCAATTCTGTCTTACTCCATTTTGTGTTGCTATAATAGAATACCTGAGACAGTGTCATTTATAAAGGAAAGAGGTTTATTGAGCATGTGGTTCTCCAGGCTGGAAAGTTCAAGACTGGAGAGCTGCATCTGGAAGCTTCTGGTAAGGGCTTTGTACAGTATGAAAATATAGAGAAACAGAAGGGGGAGCAGGTGTTGTTAAGAGACCAGACATGAGAGACAGCCTCATTTTATAACAGCCAGGGTAACTAAACCAGTCTCAGGAGAGCAAGAATTTACTCTTGCAAAAAGGACATTAACCTCTCTTAATGATCTAATCACCTCTTAAAGGCACAATATCTCAACAATGTCTCACTGGGGACCAAGCATCAATGTGAGTTTTGGTGGGAACAAGCCATACTCAAATTATAGCAGTTTACTTTTCACCCGATTAATTGTGTCCTTTGATGAATGAAAGTTTTTGATTTTCATCAAGGCCAATTTATCTAGTTCTTCTTTTTTGTTATCTGTATTTTTTAAGTCCTATCTGTAAAATAATTGCCAAACTCAATGTCATGAATTTTTTATTCACATTTTCTCTTAAGAGTTTTATATTTTAGCTCTTATGTTTAGATATTTGATACATTTTGAGTTAAATATTGTACATGGTGTAATATAAATATCCAACTTTTGCATGTAGATGTAAGTTTTCCCAAGCAAAATTGTTGAAAACACTGTTCTTTTCCCATTGAATAATTTTGGCACACCTTCAAAAAATAACTGGATTATGAATTCAGGGGTTGATTTCTGGACTGTCTATTACTGCCAGTTAGCATTTATGCCTGTACCACACTGTTTTGATTACTGTAGTTTTGTAATAAATTCTGAAAGTAAGGCATATAAGACCTACAAGTGTGTTGTTTCTGAAGATTGTTTTGGCTCTTCAGGTCCCTTGAGATTCCATGCAAACTTTAGGATGTATTTTTCTATTTCTGCAAAAAACACCACTGAAATTTTGATAAGGATTTTCACTAAATCTATGGATCATATTATGTAGTATTGACATTTTAACATTATTCTAATCAATGAAGATGGATTTCCATTTATTTATATCTTCTTTAATTTCTGTCAGCTTCATTGTGTAGTTTTCAGTGTACATGTCTTTAGCCTGTTTGGTTACATTTATTTCTAAGTAAATGAGTCTTTTTTTAATATTTCCTTTCAGATTGTTCATTATTAGTGAAAAATGATATGCAGCTAAATTTCATGTGTTGATTTTGTATTCTGCAACATTGCTGAATTTAAATTAGAACTGAGCCCTACTAGTTTTTTCCACATTTTTAGGATTTCCTGTGTGTAAGATAATGTCTTTAAAATAAATAATTTTAGTTTTATTTTTCCAATTTCAATGTATTTCATTTATTTATTTGTTGCCTAATTTCCCTGGTGAGGAGTCCATTGTTACATTAAATAGAGGGATGAAAGTGGGCATCCTTACATTGTTCGATTCTAAGTTTCTTTTTAAATTATAAACACAGAAATAAAAATGCTGAACATATTTGTTTGACTGATGTAATTGAATTTTATGTTCTAAAGGTACGTATTTTATGTTTATGTCAATTTGCAAAATAATTATAATTATCTTTATTGTGGGAATTTGGGATCAGTTACTCAATCAAATGATTGCTCAATTCTCTATTTTACTTTTCTCAATAGCAAAGGTATAACAGAAGGAGCTTGTGGAATGCTCATTAGGTTACAAACAGACTGGTAATTTAACAATTGACTGCCAATAGAACAATAAAGCTACATAGGCTTTATTGTCTTGATACAGCACATAATTTTTGACTGAAGCAATAGACTTTTTTCATTTTTCTGAAAAACTTATGTTCAAGATAATATTTGTGTAGCTCTGCAGGAATAGACATCATCTGCTGAGAGGCATTCATAAAAATAAATAATAGAGGAATTCCCTCCAGCCCTCATACACACTTTCTTTGAAAAGCAGTGACTATCACTGCATTTGGCTTTTTAAATTGGCACTGATTTCCTTTTTTGGCAAATGAAACTCAATTTTTCAAACAAGCCAACCTTCATTGTCTAATTCTAAATATACGGGCAGCTTTATCACTTACATTTGGCATGGAAGGCTATACAAATCTATTTGGCTAATTTAATTCACTGAAAGAGGTAATTTTCTAAATAACTTCTATTGGCCTAAAGAAGGTAAGATGCTGCCAGGTGGGTTTGTTCTCATTGGCACAATCATATCAGGACATAAATGGCATCCTCACTCTGGGTTTCTAGACACACAAACTATCTAACATACAACTAAGCAAAGGGATTTGTACTCTTTCTGTATTGCTGAGATTCTCTTAACCTTTGTTATATATGTTTTGATCTATATATGTGACCCTTGGACAACACAGGTTTGAACTGCAAGGGTCCACTTATATACAGATTATTTTTAATCAATATGTTTATTTATTAAGGTATGTATGAATACATAAAGTACACACAGATACTAGTCTATTTGTATGTTAATCATTTATGTTTTCAGTAAGGCTTCTAGTCAATAGTGGGCTATAGTAGTTAAGTTTGAAGAGTCAAATTTATGCATAAATTGTCAATTGCGTGAGAATTGGCACCCCAACCCCAACATTGTCCAATGGTCAACTGTATATAAATATATATAAATGTATAGTATATATAAACTATTTCTGTTATATTAATGATTAGGATTTTTAAATGTTTGTTTTTCAAAATATAATACATACACATAAAATGCATAAAATGAATCTATAATGAAACAAATTATTACAGAAATCAACCATGTAATACTCATCCGCCCAGACTCAAGACATAGTCCTTTCTGTACAATCTTCACTCCAACCATCTTCCTCATCAAAGGTGACCACTACTCTGACATCTGATTCTAAAGTTCAAATTTGCCATTAGGAATCATTAAATAAATTGGATAATATATTATGTATTCTTTGATATCTGACTTGTATAATTACTTACCTCTCAATAATACTTTTACCTGTCTGAGCAGGGTTATTGCTTGTTTTTCACTAGTTTAGTTTTTTAAAAATTTGTTCAATTCTATTTATTGGAAATGATGTTATTTCATGCCTAACAAGTACTGGTGAGGTTGTGGAGAAAAGGGAACACTTATATACTCCTGGTGGAAATATCAATTAGTTCAGCCACTGTAGAAAGCTTTTGGAGATTTCTCCAAGAACTTAGAACAGGATTACCATCTGAGCCAGCAATCCCATTATTGGGTTTATACCCAAAGGAATGTAAATCATTCTACCATAAAGACACAAGCATGCATATGTCCATCACAGCACTACCTGCTATTTCACAATAGCACCGCTATTTTACAATAGCAAAGACATGGAATCAACCTGAATACCCATTGGTGGTAGGCTGGATAAAGAAAATGTGGTACATATATACCATGGAATACTACACAGTCATTTAAAACAATGAGATCATGTCCTTTGCAAAATACGGATGAAGCTAGAGGCCATTATCCTAAGCCAACTAACATAGGAACAGAAAACCAAATATTGCATGTTCTCGCTTATAAGTGGGAGCTAAACACTGAGTGGGAACAACAGACATTAGGGTCTATTTGAGAGTGGAGGTTGGCAGGAGGAGGAGGATCAAGAAACTACCTATTGAGTACAATGCTTATTACTTGGGTGATGAAATAATCTGTACACCAAGCCCCTGTAACACACAATTTACCCATGTAACAAACTTCCACATATACATGCAAATCTAAAATGAAAGTTAAAAAAAAGAAACAGAAAATGGTATTTTTAAAGTTATTTCATTTTGATTTTTGTACCTGCTATATGCATATATATTTTGTATTTGTGCGCTGAGCTTATGTTCAGTATTCTTCCTAAACTCAGTTCTTCATTTTAACAATGTATTTGGAGATTTGTCTCTACTTTCTGGTACATCATTATGCTGTCTGTAATGACACTTTTATTTCTCATTTTACAATATTCATTAATTTTTCTCATTTGTGCTTTTATTATATTGGGTTGGACCTCTAGTAAGATGTTGAATAGAAGTAATGATAAGATGTATCATTTTTTTCTTATTTTAAATAAAAGTAATTTAACATCATACCGTAAAGTATGAGGTTAGCTACATACCATTGTACATACTCGATATTACACTGAGAAAATATTCTTCAATTTCTGGTTTTCTAAATTTTTTTTTCATGACTAAGTGTTTAATTTGTTAAGGGAGTTGTATATGTTGAAATCAAATGATTTAATGTAGTACTAAAAAACATGAGTAATTTTTCAAATGTTAAGCTCAACTTATATTTATGAGATAAACACAAGTTGATTATGATATACTGCTCTTCTTATATTTCATTGTATGTTTTTGTTAATATTTTAGATTTTTGCATCTGTGTTCATGATTTAAATTGGCCTATATTTTTTGCCAGTAATAACATTCTTGACAGAATATGTTATCAACATTTGTTCCTATTTTTCCCAATCTTGGGAAGACTCGTGCAATATTGGCATTTATTCTTCCCTACATATTTGGTTGAATTAATTGGTCATATCATCTGGAACTGTAATTATCTCTATAGGAAAGTTTTAGATTTTATATTAAATTATTCAGTAA